AAATCTAAAGAATTTTTTTCTTTCTACGAATCTTTATCGTTTCACTTGATCGAGGGTGGTGTACGGGATAGAAGGGTAGAATCAAAAAACAGAAAAAAAAGAATAATAACGCTAAAAAAGAAAGTTGATGAGACGAAGCCTCCCCCACAAAGTCCTTTCTAGTTCGTCGGGCAAGCAGAGACAGTGCAAGAGTGAAAGCGGTAGAAAGAAACTATGTATGTATAATATGTACGCGTGTATGTGTGTGCCTGTACGAGGAGATCAAGAAAGAGAACACGTTTTCCCATATATTTTATCTTATATTTTTTTATTTTATTTTATTTTATTTTTTTTGTTAGATGATTTTCACTTTAAAGATATTTCGATTTGGTATAGACGTCGATTGCTTTAGAAATGATTGAAGTAAAAAGAGAAGAAAAAAAAAGAACAGTGAAAGAGTGACACACAATATACATTGACTTACATTGCGATTAGTATTATTGCAAACTTACTACTGGTGTTTACGAACTTATTTATTGGCACGGCCGCATTAAGCGTGATCCACTGCCCAGGCTAGAAAAAAATGATAAAAAAGAAACATCACGATAAAAAAATTCATCGGCTTTGATGTACATGTAAGCTTCGAATGTTCACTCTTCGTTACGATCGCGTTTAAATCTCTTCACTGGACAAGATGGCGAATGTCTGTCCTAGTCGTATTTACGCAAGGCTGATCTCTTTGTGATTGGTGTAGTATTAGGTTTTGCACGATCGTTGTGCACTCACAAGATTACCTTAATTCGGCCTTGCTCGCGATGCACACGGTCAAAAAACATCCGCTTCGTCGAACCAATTAGATCCTTTAGTTCTCTGAATCTCGACGAAGTCGCTGTCAAAGATGTATCGTGTGTCAACGTACAAGAATTTTGCTAACGATTTTTTCCTAAGCCTGCTCGAATGCAACGTACATGATAAAAAAATTATGAGGATCGTTCGCGTGGATTTTTACCTGATTTTTAAAAAAATCGATCGATACAACCAAGTGTACGGGCGTGATGAACGAAAGTGAAAAAGAAAAAGAGAAAAGAGAGAAAGAAAGAGAGAGCGCAAGAGAGCGAGCGAGCGAGAGAAAAATACGACGATAAAACAGACATATTGTGCGTGACACGTTGAAGTGACAAGTGTTGACGAATATTACTATTAAAGTAATAATAGAGAATTAAAGTGAAATCTTATACATAATAATTATTGAAATGTAAATTGTGTTTGGTTGTATTTTGTGTTATTCGCCTCTAATGCTAAATATAATGGAAATTCGATTAAATCCTATTATTTATGTTTATTCCATACCTTGAAAGATTGTTGCACTTCAACTTTTTCGAATAACGGAATTATTTGAATTTGAATTTTCGCGCCAGACATGCGTACATATGATTCTGATATGAACTTATGATTCGTTCTTTCTAACGGTCGTAACCAAAGAATGATTTTGAAAATACTAGGTCTGCTTGCTAATATAGTATAGACGCATGGTACTTAACGGAGGTTCACGTTTACAACTTCGCGTGTTAACAAACATTTTCAACGTTTCGAGGAATTTATTTAAAATGGGATCTCTTGAGAGTGCTAAAAAAACTGCGGCTTACAAAGCAGTTGACGAATATGTGAAGGTAATTCTTGTTTTAAATAAATCGCAGTGAAATAGCAGGTTATATAAATGCACCGGTGTTCTATCATTTGAATTTTACGCACGATTATTTTACAGAATAACACTGTTATTGGCATTGGTAGCGGGTCTACAATAATATACGCTGTTCATAGGCTTGGTAACAATATTTTATCTTGCATTTAAATATTATCATTTACTGTAAATTCTTCTCGTGAATTGCTATACTTTTTGCATGAAAGTATTACAATCAACCTTTGACCCTATCAGGAGATAAGATTGTAATTTGAATGTAATTACAAGTATCTTTTTAATATAAGAATAAAGTAAATTTTGCCATCCTAAATAAAAATGTTAATAGTTTATCTTTTTTTTTGGATATATTTGAATGTCTAAAAAAGGTATTGTACTTTTCAGTGGAACGTATGAAGGAAGAAAACCTTAATGTTGTTTGTGTTCCAACTTCATTCCAAGCCCGCCAGTTGATATTGAATAATCACCTTACATTAGGTGACTTAGAAACCCATCCCAAAGTAATGAACAGTTTTTTGCTTGCATTATTTACAAAATAATTTTTTATATTCTTGATTAAATATTAACAGTTGGATTGTGCAATTGATGGAGCAGATGAAGTTGACTCCGATATGAATCTCATCAAAGGTGGAGGAGGTTGCTTGCTTCAAGAGAAAATTGTGGCATCTTGTGCTGATGAGTTTGTTATAATAGCTGATTACACGTAAGTATTATAATTAGAAGAAGTATTCTTCTGTCATTTACTTTTATGTATATTCATTATTTTTAGGAAAAGTTCTCAACAACTTGGTGAGAAGTATAAAAAAGGTATTCCTATTGAAGTAATACCTATGGCATATGTTGCCATTCAGAAAAGAATTAAAGGCAATTATGGAGGAAATATACAAGTTAGGATGGCTTTGGCCAAAGCTGTAAATATCTTTCTTCAATCGTTTTTTATACATTGATTAATCTTATATAAGTTACATTATGCATCTCTTTCTTTGTATAGGGTCCAGTCATAACAGATAATGGTAATTTTATTCTTGATTGGCATTTTCCGCAAGGTCTGACTAATTGGAATAAAATTAATATAGAAATCTCAATGATTCCTGGTGTTGTTGAAACAGGACTCTTCATAAAAATGGCAAAAAAAGTGTTCTTTGGAATGCCTGATGGCAGCATTAAAGAACAGTCTTAAAGTGGTGCTTTAACATTGATTTAAATGTTAAGAATATGTTGTATAATATAGGGGCTATTGACTCAATTTTAATCTAAAACTGTGACAAAAGGGTTTGGACAGTCCTAAATACTTGTTCCTTCTCTGAAGTGATATCGCATTTTCATGTTTAATTTTTTCATTCAATATTCATTTTCATTACATTCATAGATTTTTAGATTTTTATCCCTTTTACAAGAGGATTTTAACAAAGATTGTGTTCTACAGACTGAAATATTTTCTGTACCTTTTACATATTTATATTTTAATTTGCGGGTAAACGGAATATTTGTGATACTTAAAATACAACCCCTAGCATCAAGTTATCCGGTTTTGTGAAAAACCTCTGTTCCAAGTGTGCTACAGATGGTGCTCAAATAATTGTAAACACTATTTGTGTAAAGATAATAGTCATTCATTGTAAACCTAAGATCTATAGAAACATAGAAATAATAATTTTTATATAAAATTACGAAGTTTTATTTCTATCCTATCATCCTCTAATTAAAAATGATATATAACTCAATCTTATATTTTTATCACACCTTTCCTTATCCTAATATAAAATAATCGCTCCTACGGTAGAGTACACTTTTTTACGTGTTACATGAAAGAAGGGTTCGTTATTATCACGAACGAAATAGAAATAAATAAAAAATACTCGCCCGAACAGGGACTCGAACCCTGGACCCTTAGATTAAAAGTCTAATGCTCTACCGACTGAGCTATCCGGGCAATTGACGTGCCATGGCCCTTAATTTTATAACACTGTAATTACATTTCAATAATTCTCGTTTATATCTTCATTCACCGATATAACTAAATTTTATGTTGTTACCGTACGTTTACTCATTTCGATAAAATAATGATTTCTACAGTAGAGCACTCCTTTTTACAATATCCTCTACGTCTCTCACGAAAGGGGTGTGTTCCTGTATGATTTATTATCGATGAAATAGAAACATAAAAAATATTCGCCCGAACAGGGACTCGAACCCTGGACCCTTAGTTTAAAAGTACGTCAAACACATATATAAAAATTGTTTTTCCCTTACAAGGCGTATCCCTTATCCTATTAACGATTCCTTCATCATAAATGTTTATCTCATTTCTATCAAATCTCTAGGGGATTATTTTCACATAGGCATTTTTACCCAAGTGTATATAAGTTACCAACGATGCATACATCAAAGCTGTAGAGTCCAGCCTAGGCCTTATCTATTGTCTGTACTTTACACGTTCTCGATAACATATATAACGTCTGTTAAGGGTAATGTTCATTCAATTTATGCGTAAAAAAATCCATATTTCACGAGTAACACCACTTTCCACGCACCTTTTATTCTCAAAGTGCGAGTCTCTCGTGATTTATGATATTAAGTCGATCAAACGAAAATCAACCGTATATTTCGTACGAAAAATCGAGAGAAAGGAAGAATCAAATTTGCCAAAAAAAAAAAAAATGTTTTTAATTCACAAAAATTTCATATTTTTGATTTACAATATTAAGTCGATTAACACAAAATCAACCGTATACAGGTGTGCCTCAATTTACGCGGAGTGTCCGTTCCACGTGGATTCGTTTTACGCGAATGAAAATCACGTAAATGAAGTCTGTCGCCACAGCCTTATCGATGCTTTTTTATGCAAGTACACATACGATGACTAGCACAACGTAATGTACTTTTATCCTTATCTCATCCAGCATTGACGCGTTTCAACATCGCCGAATAAGTTACTGTATACACTTGTTACTTTTAAAACTTCTACGAAAATGTATCTTCTGGCCGCGTAAATTAAGATCGCGCACAAAAGCCACCGCGTAAATTGAGGGAAAAATCCAGAGGAAGGAAAAATCCAATGTGCCAGAAAAGAGAAACAAAATTCTTAATTCACGAAAATTTCATATCTTTGATTTACAATATTAAGTCGATCAACTGAAAATCAACCATATATTTCGTACGAAAAATCGAGAGAAAGGAAGAATCAAATCTGCCAAAGGCTTGTGAGAATTTTTCGGAGTAATCGCGAAGACATCTTTTCACTCTATTCGTTACAATTAGGGTAAAGTTGCCTAATACGAGACCCATTTCTTAAAGAAGTCATAACTGTCGACTAAGAACACTTTTATTAAAATTCGATACATGTTTTAAAAGTACGATATGTATTCTTTTGTAAGATACTGGAATGTACGGTAAAGAAAATTCGGTTCCTTCGTAATAAAATAAAAACGAAAATTATGCAAATAATTTAAAAAATGGGTTCCTAATATGAGAAAACTATTTTTTCTGTCTTTTTTCACACATTCGGCATATTAAATCTGTTTCTTCAGCACCGCAGACTTCGTGGGCTCACCTGTAACACTTTGTACACTAAAACAAAATTGGGTACCTAATATGAGACGCTTCTTATAATAGGAACTTCTCATATTCGGAAACAATAACACGATAGCTATTAAGTAGCTTCGAGATTAAGTCTTCGTTATATAACGATACATTATACAACAGTATTTATGAAAATGATTATAAACTTACTATTTTCGAGGTATTTGTAATTTAATCGAACCACTTGGAAAACTTTCTGCAACGTATTGCACAAATATGCTTGTTGAAGACGCTTGATTAATTTCAATCAAATTTGATAATTAACGCTTCGAACCACTTGGAAAACTTTCTGCAACGTATTGCACAAATATGCTTGTTGAAGACGCTTGATTGATTTCAATCAAATTTGATAATTAACGCTGTTAATTACGAAACGAAACAGCATCGTTACGACATTCAAGAGTTCTGTAACGGAGATATGCTGGGGTCTCATATTAGGCTACTTTACCCTAAGTCGATCAACTCAAAACCAACCGTATATTCCTTACAAAAAATCGTGAAAAAGGAAAAACCAAGTCTGCCCCCCCCCCAAAAAAATTCCTAATTCACGAAAATTTCGCTCGGAGAAATTCTCGATAACCGAGAGAAAACTGTGAAAAATTTAAATGACAAAAAAGGGAGTGTAGAAGGGCAATCGCCAAGGGTTGAACGACCTTATGGTAACTCAGCGGGTTCTGATGCGCGAACGTTGTAAGTACTTAACCCCAGCTACTTTCCTCTCATTTACACGAAGTCCCTTATCGGTCAGCCTTTCGTAATCTCCTCCAACTTCGTCATCGTACAATGTTTCAATCTTTCCCCATTTTTACCCTGTTTGCATATTCTCATACCTCTTTGGTCCCGTATACAAGGACAACTCCGCAGGTAGCGAGGAGGAACCGTTAAACAACTTACACCCCCTAGAGATTCATACGAAAAACTCGTGCAAAAGAAAGTCATTCCGTGTCAAAGTATAGACAAAAGCTCATCCTTAAAATTTTCGTTACATTTCCTTCTCACGTTTAGACACTTCATCGCGAGTGAACTCAGAAGTGAATTCATCCTTGAACGCTGAATGCTTGGATGATTACAACGGACTAAGACGAGAGACAGCATAATCTCTCACGCATGTTAACAGCCGTCCGAGCTGCGGAATATATGTAAGACTAACTGCGTTCGGCATAAAGAACATTAAATGTACCGTACCAGGGACTATTATGAACGGTCATGCGTTCTTAGGGCGCATGAATTCACGCCCTCGGAGGACACCGAAGTGGGGATGGTATTTGAAGAGCTGCCGCGCGATTTCAACCCTCACAGGCGAACTTCACTTCTTACGCGATCACCAACCCCTTGGGCGCAAGAGAAACCGTACTCGGGACATTCGACAAGTCGAGACCAAGTGCTCCTTCGAGTTCATCTTTGGACGTTTCTCGAGGAAGCTGCTCTTCAGCGTGCGAAAATCCAACATGAAGGTAACTTCTCTCACCTGTATCTCTTCCTTACTCGAACTCGACAGAAGATAGTTTCGCGCATATTTCTTGCTTAGTAAAATAAATTCACATTTTCTTCTGTCCTCGTGAGACATTTGACACAGTTGTGTGACAATTTGTAAGGACATTTCTTTGCACGAATATGTTTGATATTTTAGATATTGTTGTGTTAACAGGAATTTCTCATTTCCTCTCACGTTTGTCGTTTTTCAATGGAACTGTGTGCGTGTACTTTGTTACAAGGTACGATTGTTAGGGATATCGAGTTGGTGACGCCTCGCAATAACGAGCTCTGTTATCCTCTGACAGGTTCTTAAAGGGCGGCGTCGTTTTTCAATCTTCCTTCTCGATTAACGATATAATTGCATTCGAAATTGCTTATCGGAGGCTCCCTCTTTTCTCCCTTCTTCTTTGCCGCGGCGACAAACTCCGGTGGAAAGGATATTAAAAGTATCTGACCGGGGGCTTTATTAAAATGTAATGAAATCTGCTGCAATCGCGTTAGTAGATCGTCGTCTATCGTGAACTTACACCGCGTTTCAACAGAAAAAAGAAAATCTTTATTCACTCTGTGTGCGATGACGGACGATAACGACGCCCGAAGGTACGATCGACCTATCAGTTATCGTTGGACATTAATTAACCGCAGTACAAACCTGATTAAAGTTGTAAGCAGATTACAACAGTTAACATGTTTGAAAGGTTCACATGTGATCTACTTATATAACAAGACCGTGCTTATTATAAATTACGGCTGTAATTAGTCGACATTTCGTTGCGGATTTTCCGAATTATCATTAGCGTTCCGTTAACGAACTCTCTATCTAACGAGGAGAAAAAATTCAGATTTCTACGTTATCGAACGAGAAATACATATTCCTCTTTCTTTTTCAAACTCTAGGCTATCTACTATGTTTGCTGCGTTCTCGTGGTCATGTGCTTAATTAACGCGGGACAATCGGAGAAACCTTTGAACAAGGTAAATTAATCTCGGAAAGAAGAAGATCTGCTGATTACTAAATTTTCTAATAATTTGCTTCTTTGGTAAAAAAAATTCTAGATCGACCAACAATTACTGGACGCCTTCAACGTGGACAGATCTTTGAGAATGAAAAGACCATTCTGCAACGCGTTCACTGGTAAAAAATACGGACGTCTATTAATTAGTACAAAATTGCAAATTTTCAGCGAATGAGTTTACTCGAAAATATTCGAAAATATTACGAGTTTACTCGAAAACATTCGAAAGTATTGCGAGTTTACTCGAAAACATTGGAAAGTATTATTAGTTTACTCGACGTTTCTCGCAGGATGCGGAAGGAAAAGGAGTTTCTCCGAGTATCTGACGGATCTCCAGGAGTTGAAATCCAGCGACAGCATCCGTATACCAGTTTCTCTGTACAAGGCTCTGTTGAACGCAGCTCAGACCGCATGTGGTCGAAGCACCGTCGACATGAACGAGTACCAATCGTCCGAGGTCCCTCAGGTGTACATGTCCGGTAAAATAGGAAATCAGAAGAGGTACGAGATGCCGTTGACGTCTCTGGATTGATTCAACATGAAAGCTACCGGCGAAGAGTGGGATATCGAGGAGTTAATTTAGTTCGTTTCACACGTGAAATTTATTCGAATGATAGAGGATACAAATTCGATCGATTCACAGTTATAGATACTTTTCTTCCGTGTCGTTATTTGTACATCAAATGGATCTCAAATAAAGTTGATTAAAGAGAGAAACATTTTCGTACGATCATTTTGCAACGAGATTTGTCTCGTTTTTATTATAGATAAACTGTTAGTTTAACGGTGAGAGCACCGTTCCAGAGATACCTCGAGTTCTTCGTCGTATCGATGGAAAATGGCTGCTTGGTGAAAAAATCTTGCAGCGATACGCTCAATCCGACACATTCTGGATTGTCCGGTTCTCCGGATAATTTTGGACGGCCCCAAAAATAGGCCGGGCATAGTGTTCTCGTGGGATCCCACATTCTCGATAGCCGATCTTGCCGCGACGCTTCGAACGAGTGATCCAGCACCTGGTTGGTCGATGATCGATTTTAAACGGTTAGGTGAAGAGAAACGTGGGAGAGAAGAAAGGAGACTTTTCTTACCGAGAGGTGAATCTTGTGACGAAATGGCCACTCGAGGATGGAATCGTGTCGACCTCGAGTCAATCCAGCGTCTACGAGAACTATACCGTAGGAGAAACGTGGTGTAACTTTTAGATGCATCGCGTAACCATTGTGGCCTACGTAAAACGTCGAGCTGCGCTCGGAATATCCGTTTCTCCAACTGGTCAGCTTCTCGTCGAAACGTTTTATTCGCCAGTAATAAAAGAAGCTGCTGGTGGAACCTGGAGCGTATTAACCTCTTCAGGGATGATTTTTTTAAAGTTGGAAAATATTGATCTAATTTTTTATGTAGTTACACGTTAAATCGATAGGAATTAAGCTACGTTCCTTAGGAGATTTTTGGAAATTTCGGGAGATTGTCTTTTTCATATTTTCTCTATCGCAAATATTGGAACTTTCGGAAAATCTGAAGGTACACCTACGCTACCGGCCAAATGTTTGGAATCACTGTGCATTGCAAGTTGCACAAAAATTCCCCCAGAAAGTTAACATTTATAATAATTTTTTAACGAATTTTTTATCTAAAGTACTATTGATATCCGCGACATCAATTTCAAATCAGTAAAGAATTGGTAGCAAATTCAATGTTAATATAAATTGGCAGGTGATTCCAAACTTTCGGCCGGTAGTGTACGTGTCGGTGTCCCTGAAGAGGTTAAGATTACTGGTATGCACAGAGAAATCTTCGTTTCCGCGATTTCGGGCGATCGACCGCGGTACGAAAAGATTCTGTGGAAGATCGTTAAATTTTGAAATTTTTTCATTCGTCACACGAAGCGGATGATCCTTCGATCGTTCGCTTCGATTCATCTTATCACGGGCATTGTATCGTTATCAGGCAACTGTTGTTTTATTGCACATATTATCGGTTACTGTTCCTTAATTTCTATATTTTAATTTTTACATTTCGAAATTTAATTTTCATATTTCAATCTTTACGCTTTTAAAATTTAATTTTCATACTTTCATTTTTACATTTCAATTTTCATACTTTCGTTTTTACATTTCAATTTTCATACTTTTAAAATTTACTTTTTGTATTTCAATTTTTATACCTTTAAAATTTAATATTCTTATTTGAATTTCCACATTTTGAAAATTAATATTTACATTTCAATTACGCCTGATAAATTAGTTAATTTTTAAATACAAATATACAGCCTTGGCTACTACTCGCGATTTCGGGAATCCCCGGAAGATCTAGAAACCTATCTCCGCGAAGACGGAGGTTCCACTGTATCACCATTTAATCCTTCCCCTGAATAAAATATACGAACCGTTTGTCGACGAAACATGCTGAATGGTATAATTGAAATTATCGATCTCATCTTGTCTAGGATACGACAAACTCGTTTTCATCTCCTTGCGATCATCGTAGATCTTCCCCACTTTGCGCGAGTCCCTCTTCTTCTCCAGCACAGTATACAACAACGTCCTGATTTCTACCAGTTCTCTGGTCAAATTTCTCGCCAGAGCTTGCAGCTTTTCGTCGAGCATTTCTGAAGCATTATACAGTGACTTGTACATCGCGGACAATTTTAAAGTCATCAGAAAAATTCTTTCTTACTCGCGTTGCAAGCTCCTGTAAGTACTCTCGTGACGCTGGCACGTGCACTCGCGACCAATTCTTCTGTGGCGATTTTACAAGTTGCGTGCTGCGTCTCTGTGACTTCTTCGTCGATCGTTTCGTTCCTATCTGAGATTTTTTGCAATTTTTTTTTCAACATTTCTCTAGCTTTTCTTCTTGTATTTTATTCGTCGATGAAAAAAACGACTTTCACACCTATTGCTCGATTAATGATACTTACAATGATCGGAGAGGTTCGCGTCGCTTGCATCACACCAAGTTAAGTAGAGCGTATTGAATAACAAGAACAATAAAACTGTCGATGACATGTCGATGAGCGATCTTTGTTCTAAGATCACGCGAAATCACGTCTGTTTGAACGAGAGAAAAGAAATAGAAAAGAAGGACGTTTCGATTTCCGGCGAACGTATAAATAGACTTTTAATAGCGTTTCCAGCTATTTTATCGCGTCGGAGTTGTTGAAACTTTCGTGATAAGCCGCTTCGTTCGAAATAATTTAAGTTTCAGGCAAGATATAGATCTAGCCGATGACCTGATCGCCACGTAACTGTCCTCCGTGTCTCCTTTGAATTATAAAATATAGGTGAATCCCTACCCCTTTTAAATTCATCACTTACTTCCCTATAGAAGTCGTTTCTCCTTCGGTAAATCACGCTGTTTAAGGTGTACGCGACAATCGTGCGATACATGTGACAAATTTTCTTCCGTAAATAACTTTAGACGTAAGAATTTTTATATATCATTCGTATTTTTTTATTTTTCAACGATCGATTCTTCGAACGAAATAAAACGATTCTTTCTCAATCGTTTCTGAAACGAACGAAACGTTCGGAGAAAATGTTTCCGTAGATATTTCTCAAAGGAGAGTGTAAACATATTCTACGTATATTTATTTTCGAAAGAACTGTCCAGCGCGTTTGGCGGTCTTTTTGACAGTCGTGTGTAAACGCGCGTGCAGAAAGACGCTGATTTTGCTTTTCGTCGTTTTTACTTTAAATTGAACCGTGGATCGTAACAAAAATGAGCGAAAATGTGCAAGGGACGTTCGTGTCGGAAAAAGTCTCTAAAATTAGATGGAAACACGAGGATTTCGAGGAGGCTACTAATTTTATAACCGGTAGCTGGGACGATCCGGTAAGGTTATCTTCGGTGGACTTAACCTATCATATCCTCGTGTACACATCGATTATGGACGACTCTATTGTATTAAAACCTGTTAACCGTATTACAGTATCAGAATTATTGTTATACTCTAGGTGAATAAAGTGACTCATTGGACATTTCAAATGAACGATGACGGGGAATCGTATCCAGCAGTTGTTTCATCATACGCGATACTTGGAGACGTGACTGAGATAAAGGTTTTATTTATTCGATAAAACGTACATTTGTTAATTCTTTTTACCGGTTCTTTTTTTTCTTACTTTCTATCAATGTTACAGTTTATTTCGAGGGATTTCTTCGTGGTGTCTACGTCTATAGGCACTGTTAGATTATTACAGATCCATGAAAATCCTTACTCTCAATTCAAAGAACACATGTCGTGGGAATTTATACATAAATTTGAGTAAGTACTGTATATTAAGGTTCTTTTATTTATTGTATCAGTTTCTTCTTTTATTTTTTATAGTAAAACAACTGATTATGCATCTTGCACCGGGCTTTCCACATTCGAACAAGATATAGTTTCAGTAGGAGAAGATGGAAGAATTAATCTTTTAACTGCTGGGCAGAAGAAACCAGTTAGAGTTATTGGTAGTTTTAAATTTTTATTTCTTTTCCATTTTGCACGCTGATTTTGTAAATAGCTCAATTTACTTTCTAGATCAAGCTGATAGCTGTTCTATATATTGTATTGATTTCTTGAGGCACAATGAGATACTGACAGGAAATTTGAGGGGACATATGAAAGTCTGGGATTTAAGAAACGATCAAGATATTCCTGCTACAACATTTATGCTCTCTGACCAGACAAAAGTATGGTGCATTTGTTATTTCTAATGAATTTTCTATACTCCAAAATAAATGGAATTTTTTACAGACAGAAGCTACAAGTATTGCTCATCATCCAACTCAAAGGCATATAGTTGTGGCTGGAGGAGGTGATGGTAGCTTAACAGTATGGGACTTGAGGCACAATACGTATCCAATGTCTCAACTAAATGCTCATGCTAAATCTGTCAGTGAAATCCTTTTCCATCCTGATAGACCAGAAAATCTATTTACTTGTTCAGCCAGTGGCGAATTATGGCATTGGAATAACGCTCAACATTCGAAATTAAGTTTAGGTGTGGTTCAATTGCAAATAAATTTGTTTTAATTCCATGTAATTCTATACTAATCAAGTATTATTCTTTTAGACCCTACAAACACGCATTGGTTAAATACAATTGGTACAAACGGTAAAGTTAATGTAATGTCGCTTTGTAGTGCTATGCATAAACCAATAAACAGTATTGATATTGATAGATCAACGTTACTTTTTGGATGCGATAATGAAGCATTGTATATTGTTAGGAATATAGCTATTTAATGACTAGCTTATTCCAATTATATTTTTTCTAATTGTAATATACTGAAAAATAAATATCTTTTCTATCATACGTCTTTTTATTTCTTGTTAACACGTGAAATTTTTTTGCTTTTACCCAAATTTCAAATGACCCGCGTGAGAAATGTATTTTTTATGCAACGTATCGCCATAGTTATTTTTTAGTATTTGTAGCTCCATCTCTCGTTGATTTTCATGAACACGATTACAGGAAGCTTTAGCCTGTTAGTTTGCCATTTTGTGACGCCTTGTGTGGAAGTTCGCAAACAGATTTTGCTTTGCTTGCCTGCGGAGGGACAAGAATTATGTCAAAACGGAGGATCGAGGTTATGGATCCGTATATTAAACGGAAGGCGTGAGTGTTTCAATACTTTTCCAATTGTAAAAGTTGAAAAATACGTTAAAATATTTTGCCATGTGCACTGTTAAAAGTTTTTTCAATTCTATCGCGCATCTCCTTGAACAAATTTTACTACCGCGATACGGTCCATGTAAATACATAAGATTAATCGAGCAATAACGTAATCGAAAGGACTTTTTCAATGTAATCCTTTAAATTTGTAAAAAAGATCCTGTCTGTTGCTGTTGACTTGTTTGGTCAACTCATCTGTAAAGGTTCTCAACTGAATTTCTTTTTGTACGAGCATGTTATACGTTGATATTTCCGAAAAAACTTTTATAATTTAAAAAAACGACGAAAGACCATACGTAATAGTCAATTGTGAACATATATAACGGATATTTTTTACGAATTGGAATATCATTTGTTTTTTATTTAATTGGTTTTCATAACCAATCAAGTGTTCTCAACTTTCGTTATTTTATGTTACTATAATGAATGCATTGTTTTAATACTATAATTAAAGTAATTTTTAAGTGATGAAATGAACTGTTTTAATAACCACATATTCGATGACTCACCTGTTGTTTCACAGAGATGGCCCAACCACATCTAATAGCACAACTGTACCTTCTACGGTTCCAAAAAATCAAGTTCAATTAAACCCTTATAACGGTTTGCCTTATACACCAAGATATCATGAATTTTATAAAAAAAGAATAACCTTGCCTGTATTTGAATATCGTGCTGATTTTATGAGGTTATTAGCACAGCATCAATGTATTGTGCTTGTTGGAGAAACAGGGTCAGGCAAGACTACACAAATTCCACAATGGTGTGTAGAATATTCAAGGTGTATAGGCACCAAGGGTGTTGCTTGCACACAACCAAGGAGAGTAGCAGCTATGTCTGTTGCACAAAGAGTTTCAGAAGAAATGGACGTTGCATTAGGTATGTATTATCATTTCTATTATGTGCTTTTTTTTAAATAAATAAATTAAACCACATTTGTATGTTTTGTGTACAATTGTTTCAATCAGGTGAAGAAGTAGGATACAGTATCCGTTTTGAAGATTGCAGTTCTCCAAAAACTGTATTAAAATACATGACTGATGGTATGCTTCTTCGTGAAGGAATGTCAGACCCTATGCTTGATGCCTATCAAGTGATACTGTTAGATGAAGCTCATGAAAGAACTTTAGCCACAGATTTGCTTATGGGTGTGTTAAAAGAAGTGATTAAACAGAGACCAGATTTGAAACTTGTGATTATGAGTGCAACATTAGATGCTGGAAAATTCCAACAGTATTTTGATAATGCACCTTTAATGAATGTACCTGGCAGAACTCATCCTGTTGAGATTTTTTATACACCTGAACCTGAAAGAGATTACTTAGAGGCTGCTATCAGAACTGTTATTCAAATTCACATGTGTGAAGAAGTGGCAGGAGATCTGCTTCTTTTCTTAACTGGTCAAGAAGAAATTGAAGAAGCTTGTAAAAGAATCAAAAGAGAAATGGATAACTTAGGTCCAGAAGTAGGTGAACTTAAGTGTATACCACTGTATTCCACATTGCCCCCCAATCTTCAACAAAAAATCTTCGATCCGGCACCTCCCACAAAACCAAATGGCGCTATTGGTAGGAAAGTAGTAGTTTCAACTAATATTGCCGAAACATCGTTAACCATCGACGGTGTCGTATTTGTGATAGATCCAGGGTTTGCAAAACAAAAGGTAATGGCACATTTCTATCCCCCTTTTTTTTTTTACTGTATGTTTTTTGATCATGTAACTGCTTTTCTTAATTGCAATTGTATTTTTGAACAGGTATATAATCCTCGAATTCGTGTAGAATCTCTCCTTGTATCGCCTATTAGTAAAGCATCTGCTCAGCAAAGAGCTGGTAGAGCCGGTCGTACAAGACCCGGAAAATGTTTCAGACTATACACAGAGAAAGCATATAAAAATGAGATGCAGGATAATACTTATCCTGAAATTTTAAGATCAAATCTTGGCAGTGTTGTATTGCAACTAAAGAAACTTGGCATTGATGACTTGGTATTTTACGTTCTTAATTAAAATATTTCAATTACCATTTTTGTTTGTAAAATATAAAATTTATTCCTTTTCTATAGGTACATTTCGACTTTATGGATCCACCTGCACCCGAAACTCTTATGAGAGCTTTGGAACTTCTGAATTATTTGGCGGCCTTAGATGACGACGGAAACCTCACTGATTTGGGTGCTGTGATGGCAGAATTCCCGTTAGATCCTCAGTTGGCGAAAATGCTTATTTCATCACGCGATCACAACTGCAGTAATGAGATACTTAGCATTACTGCCATGTTGTCAGGTAAAGTATCAGTAAGAATATTTTTTTCGCGGCACTATTAGATTCACGTATGTTTTGCGTATAAAGTAATTTTAATACGATAAAAACGAAAGTTACTAAGTCAGGATCATGGTAAGGTACCGTGGTTTTAAATTGATGATTGATATTGTATTAGTCCCACAGTGTTTTGTGAGGCCAAATGAATCAAAGAAGGCTGCGGACGATGCTAAAATGCGATTTGCACATATCGACGGAGATCACTTGACGTTATTGAACGTGTACCACGCTTTCAAACAAAGTAAGTACCTTTTCAAGGGTTCTATTAAATTTGTTATCAAAGTGCAATTTTAATATTTGTTGTTCGTCGTTAAAGGTTTCGAAGATCCACAGTGGTGTTACGATAATTTCGTCAATTACCGATCTCTAAAAAGCGGCGACAACGTTAGGCAACAACTAAGTAGAATAATGGATAGATTTTGTTTAAAACGTACCTCGACAGATTTCACATCAAAAGATTATTATATCAATATTAGGAAAGCGCTCGTGGATGGATTCTTCATGCAGGTAAATATGATTGAAGGTAATTTTCACGAATAAAGAATCATTTTGATTGCAATACTAATTTTCTTCTTTATGTGTGTTAGGTCGCACATTTAGAAAGGACTGGTCATTATTTGACGATCAAAGATAATCAAATTGTACAGCTTCATCCAAGCAGTTGTTTGGATCATAAACCCGAATGGGTAATTTACAACGAGTTTGTGCTTACGACAAAGAACTACATCAGGACAGTTACTGATATTAAACGTATGTTATGATTTTGTTGTTAAATAACATAACGATTACTTATTTGTGTTCTAACGTTAATTTTTTTTTTTTTTTATAGCTGATTGGCTATTAAAAATAGCACCACAATATTATGATTTACAAAATTTTCCACAATGTGAAGCAAAGAGACAATTGGAAGTGATCCAAGCGAAGTTAGACTCAAAACAATATCAAGAAGGGTTCTAACCTCTATATATATTAGCTATCTTCAAAAATGGTGTCAAACGATTGATAATGTGTGGTCGATCTATTTTCGGCAATACGTCAGACACACGGTTCTTTCAAACATAAAGCCAAAACACTTACTAAACGTTGCGAGACGGCCGTATGGGTAGTTCTCTACTCTGTATTTTCACTTAAAAACATGTAAACAAAAAGACAAATTTTAAAGAACATTTATAATTTTGTACAAGCTTTAATAACTTGTACATTTTTTTAGGCTCGTGTGCCGAAAATTGTAAATGTTTGTAGACCTCGTTTTATCCTAACATCAAACAAATGAAAATTGACCTTTCATCTACTAGAAGGCACGCGGAAGGCATAGTTGGTTGATAAATGATTTATTTATGTACATTAAAGAAGAATTTAGTGACTAAGTAATTTTACCAGTAGAATTTGTTGGTCGACGTTTGCACACTTGAAATGTAATACTAGATAAAAATAGATTAATTTTTGTATTAAATGTTGAACAAGTATGCCAGATAAGATGTATACAATGCTTGCTATGGATAATCGAAGGGCAATGACTTTACATAACCTTCAACACAAATTACATCTGTTTGCTGTTTTTTCTTAAAATTAAGTAGTACCGTTTTACGTGTTACATATTTCACATTTTGCAAGTATACACATTCGGGAGCATTATATATTTATTATAACTGCAATGTGCAAATAACTTATATCGTATTACGCAATGTTTTCTTTTGTTTACAATCAACACAGTTGTATTTGCCATAATTTTTCACAAAAAGTTTATTACATGAGGAAAGATATCTCCAATATTGAAAGAAGCAATTATAAAGAAATCGAAATAAAACCGTAAATTGTAATATGAAAGATATTTTATAGAAAACTATATGATAAGTTTCAAAAAATCAAATTATTCTTATTTATGAATACTAGCATAATAGAAATTACAAACCACTGTCGCTGTAAGAAATTAATTTGACAGTGTTACGAGTCATCTCTACAAGAGTATAAATGATTAAGCTTAATTAATATCCGAATAACAAATTTCCGATGATATCTGATCTAGAACACCGCATGCTTTCAAGAAGTATCATTGAATTTTTTAGCTTATTTTAGAATTGAAAATTTCTAAGTAGTTGGGAATATTATCACGCTACAAAATTGATTTTCCTAATGAACATATAATCTCACTGTTTAAAATCCATTGATTGTTTTAACAAAACGAATGCTAGTTTCGGTTTTTGTAAATAAAGGATACGCAGGTATTAAGAGAACATATAGAATCACAAGATTTACGATCGCGAACAGTTTTCATTGTATTGTACCACTTCATTCCAATAAAATATTGAAAATATAATTCAATTGTAATAACTGTTAATGAGTATAAATTAAAAATGTTACATCATGCTTTACGTAATATATCAAAAAGATAGTTTCACACTATTATATATTTAATGGATTGTTTCTTATCGCGGTTCTCCTCCTGTTGCAAGAAATGTTTGAGAACCACTGAGAAAGCACGAGGATCGTAGTGTTTCATCATTTTACTGGTTTTCATGAAATTAGAAGAGCTATGGCATCGTTCGTGGTACCAGTTGCAACGAGATTTACTCGAGTTGCGATTGATAGTTTGCACAATATAAATAAAAATATTTTATTTAGGTAAGATTTTATGTTTCATAGTTTGTTATATTGTTAAACATGTGCAATTCATTGAACGTGAATTGCAATACATAGAGGTTAGATTGTTAAAAGATGCTTGTGTACTAATTTATTATATTATCTTTGCGGTTTTTCTAATAAAATTGTAATATATCTAATAAAAATTGTCATATTTTTTAAATTTGTATAAGATTTAAATGAAACCTTATGTAGTTACTTGATTATATTAATAGTAAAAGATTCCAAGAATGTTGTATAACTAATAGTATTTGAATAAACGAATGAGAAAAAGATTAGTAGCAGTTTGTTTTATAGTACTTTCGTAAAAAAAGAAAACAATAATCTGTATAAAATTTCTTTGTTGATATAAAGGTTAGCTCAACCATCATTTGCATCTTGGCAAAGACAAGAATATAGCACAATAACAGAAGAGAAGAAATCAGAAAGTGGAGAATCACAAATATTAGAATCTACAGAAAATGAAAAAAAATTAAAACTAGATATTGAACTTCTTAATAAGGAATTAACAGATTTGAAAAGTGATAAAAATCAATTAGAAGACAAGTACAAAAGAGCACTTGCTGATGGAGAAAATCTTAGAGTTAGACTAATGAAACAAATTGAAGATGCAAAAATGTTTGGAATTCAAGGTTTCTGTAAAGATCTGTTAGAAGTAGCAGATATCTTGGGTAAAGCTACAGAGAGTGTACCCAAGGATGAACTCACAGAAAAAAATCCGCATTTAAAGACATTGTATGAGGGTTTAAGTATGACAGAGGCACAATTACATAAAGTAAATAGGAAAACATGGTTCAACTATATTTTCATACAATAACATATACTATCAAATTACTTTGAAACATTTTTGTGTAGGTGTTTAAGAAACATGGTTTAATATCATTAAATCCACTGGATGAAAAATTTGATCCCAATCAACATGAAGCACTATTTCAACAGGTGAGATTACCATATTTTATTTACATAAACTATATTTTATAACTGTAACTCTAACCAAGAACATATTATTATATAGGAAGTTGAAGGTAAAGAACCAGGAACAATTGTAGTTGTCTCAAAACTGGGATACAAATTACATGAACGGGTAGTAAGACCAGCATTGGTTGGTGTTGCCAAAGGATAATTAATGATTATGTTAATTTAAATGGGATTATATGCAATCCCAGTAAAGGAACTGCTGAAGAAAATATTGGCACATAAATATTACACTTGAAATTGAAATGTAAAACACAAACCAAATATGAATGTTAAAGAACTGATATAGAAAGCAAGAACAGTATACAAATTTTATGAAAAGTGAACTTATTATATTAAGTTTAAAGAATGTAATATAACATTTGAATTCTCTTGTTTTTTTTTTTATAGATGCAAATAGATTTCTATGTATTTAGACAAATCATTCCTTTTATTACATCATATTTTATATTTATTACATTCTAGTAGAAAATTACAACAAAGTAACATTTAATTGTTTCATCATGGAGACAATATAATAAATAGTACCATCCTGTGATCTGAATGTAATTTTTATACGAAGTTTATAAATAATTAAATTTATTAGTCAAATACTTATTCTTTATGGCAAGTTAATTTTACCTTAGTAAGGGCTTAACATCTTTCAAAAACTTTGTACAAGTCAGGCAGGTTGGCTATTTGTAATATTGTTGAATCATGTGCAAAATGTTTCGGAGGAAGTAAGCTTTCTTTAATTGCAGTATATAAAACATGTTCTGTAACATACTTCCAGTCGAAAACATGGCTGTTCTGCCGACCACTCTACTTCAGTAGCTAAACGCAACACATAAAGAGGAAGACCACCTGCATTTGGGAAATATTTTTCTGTAAAAAGGGGAAAAGAAGCTTCGTAATGTATTCTAGTTTAAATATAGATATTTCATTAAAATATATTCACCTAATAATACTGGTAGAGATTTTAAATTTCCCTTTTTATCTATAACAATAGAAAAATATTCTCTTAACATTTCTGTCTTCTCCAATAATAGTTCTTTAACACTTGTAGCTAATTCATCTTTTGGTCCATCATTCTCTGTCCATCCAGCTTCTTCAGTACCTAATCCTAACATAGCTAGATCATATAAAGGGATGGGCTCCTAAAAATTAGTATAAATTATAATATATGATAATACTTTTGTTAACTCATGTACTTACAGAAAATTTGATGACGCCATAATTTGCAAAATCGTAAAGCATAATTTCATAAAAAAGCTCCTCTCTAAATAAAAAACACGAATAATTTAATATGTTACATGGATTACGAATATTTTACAGAAAAATATATATTAATGCTCACGCTAATTTTTTTGTATCACAGAGATACAAGTTGACGCCACTTTGAACCAAAGCAGTAGATGAATCTATACAGCCGACGAAAGTTAATTCCGATAAAATTTGTTTCATGCCTTCGTGACACTCGTTTTCTACTTCTTTACGTAATCTTAAAATACTTGTTAATTTCACTTCTCTCCTAAAATTATTTATTGAATAGGATTTAAAATCGTATGTACTTTCGGTGTCACTTTTTTCTTCGCTACTTTTTTCATCTTTTTCATTATTTTTATCGTTATCAGTTTCTCTTGAAGTTTGTGCATTTGTAGTTTGCACTTCTTTAGGTTTATTACTTGTAGAAGGTTCAATTGCTTCCGTATTTTCTTTACATATACTACCTTCTTTCTTCTCTGTTGCAGTATTTATATTTCCGAAACATTTGTATACTTGTTTACGTGCTTTATCTGCGATAACGTCAATGCACTTTTCTTTATTAGAATCGTCTACAACTTTTTTATCAATTTCATCGTATGGAGTTCCGAACATATCTTGCAAACTATTTAGATCACATTCTTCTTCACTATCACTTTGAACAGGAGGAACTAAATTGGAATCATCAGCTGCTACTAAATCAAATGTAGATGAAGTTGTATCATCTAGAACATTACTCCATGAAGTACTTGGCCCTGCTACTTGTATTACTTCATCATCTTTTGGTGTATTTTTTTGTCTTGTATCCTCGATATCTGGTGTTGAACACTGTTCTATATTTAATTCTTTTTTGTCATTGATATTACTATCTTCAGTTTTTCTAGTATCTATTTCCGCATCCGACACATTGTCATTGACTTCATTACTTGTTGATTCATTAGTTTCAACATTATTGTCATTTCTAGCATATTTCATTGCTGTATGAATAGTAAAATTAAATTTGTCTAACTTTTGATCAGTGGCATCAGTCCTGATCATTTCTTGAGGACGAATTTTTTTCGTTTTATCATTGTTATCTTTCTCATATTCTGGCAATACTTCTTGCAAAACTTCCTTAGTGATGTTTGCTTTCGGTAACCGCGCTTGTACGTAAAATGTTCTAGAGGTATTACTTGCAGATAGTTTTTCGTCTATGGCATCTCTCATTCTTTCAATGATAGAAAATTCGTGAAGAAATTTAACTTCGTGTTTTGTTGGATGTACATTGACATCAACATTTTGTGGATCAATTTCTAAAGATATGTAACACCATGGGTGAGACTTTTTCGGAAGATAAAAAGTATAAAGTTCTTCCAACATTTTTCGAATTACTGAAATAAAATATTTATAAAACCTCGGCTTTACTCATAAGAATTGTTGACTTCAATACTCTATAACTTACTGGAATTTTCTACTAATCTGTTATTAATGAACAAGAGAAACGTCATTTTCTTGTTACTGTAATTTGGATTTGTTACTAAAGCATGCATTTTAAATTTGTAAGTGTTATCTGTAAGTTCCACTTCTAATAATTCGCGAGCTACAGGATTACCATAAAGTATTCTGGTATTACTCATTTTAGTTGAATTAGCTGGTGTACGGACCTAAATATATAAAAGAGATATTTATAAATAACAATTTATAATTTTAGAATCTTTTTTTATAAAAAGAATACCTGAGGTGTTATTTCACCATGTTTTTTTAGACTGAATCCCACTTTAGGATTGTGCACAGCATATTTTGTAACAACATCTGAAATTTTGCTAAATTCCTCAGCTGTATTAGATAAAGCTTTTCTTCTTGTTGCAATATTATAAAACAAATTTTCAATGAGTATAGTAGTGCCTTGATTTCCAGCACATGATTTAGGTGGTGCCTTCATTTTACTATCCACATATGAGGCTCTAGTGTAGAAAATAAATTATTAGAAAATATTTAGCTTTTAAGTTATCATAAAATTGAAATATATTAAACATACTTATAAGCACACTTTTCATTTACAGTTTTTGTTGTGATTGTTAAAAGTGATACATGACTAATGCTTGCCAAAGCTTCACCACGAAATCCATAGGTTGTTATTGACTGAAGATCCTCAAATGTTTGTAATTTACTAGTTGTAAATCTTTCACAGACAATTCCCATGTCTTCCTTTCTGATTCCTGTTCCATTGTCTTGAATCTGAGATCAATGTCAACTACTGAATTATAACAATCACTTTTTCATTTAAATAATTAAAGAAAATACCTGTAATAATTTTAATCCACCTTCTTTAGCAATAACCTGTATACTAGTTGCTTTTGCATCAAGACTGAAACATTTGTGGTATTGAATTTATAGTGCAACAGAGATACATGTAACAATTATGTACTTTTAAATGTCTAACCTGTTTTCGATTAACTCTTTCAATGCATTTGCCGATCTTTGTATTATTTCGCCAGCTGCAATTCTATTTACTACAGTTTCCTCCAATTTTTTAATTTTCCCCGGTGCATTCATATTTGGTGATGCTGTTTAAAAAATTTTGATGGAAATCTCCGGAAATTGGAGCCAAATATTACAGTAGATTACACCATAGTGCACAGTAGATTACACCATAGTTTACAGTAGTTATAATGTGTATGTCGCAAATTAATGAACTTTAATGTAATGAAAAGAAATGTTAATAAAAGTTGCAATTTCAAGTAATAAGTGTTTTTATTTAATGCAAGAATACATTGTATCATATAAATATGTTCTTTAACTTTTACTTTCGCGCCAAACTTTTGAATCTAAAATTACACATACATCAATTGCGTGTTGTCATTTTCAATAAACGATGCAGAAGTGGATATTGTGTATAATACACTGCGGTATGTCGTTATATTGTATTGTCGATAAAATTACCAAGAGGTCATGGAAAATTTCTCACGAAACACAAAGAATCCAGAAAGTTCCAAAGTTGACATCGATTTTCGTCGGTCGTTAGGCATCGAGGTATGATTTGAATTAGCTACAATATATCCCTACCCAGCTAAAGTTATTTTTATATAAACTGTTCTTCTATCGCATCGTATACATATACTGATATTAATATGTTTAGTAATAGTAAATTTCACATGATGTAATAGTAAGCTATAAAAACAGTTATATCGATTTACCGGTACAAAGTAAGCTATTCTTAAATTGGAATGCATATTCGAAGCAAAATGTGTTCTAAATTATCACAAAGTTTGTGCAAAATTATTTTTATAGCAACTATTGAACTGTTTTCAATTCATACGGAATCATACTTTACAAAATTTACGTCTACAAAATTGAATCAAATTTTTTATTTGAAAATTATAGAATGTGATAGCAATAATTTATAGCATATATAATATTTCAGCTATAATTTGATCGTACAATATAAATCGATAAAATAAAGTAAATTCTAACCCATCTTATGCGTGACTAAATGTACGTTTTGCGTCGATATAATTTTTTTACCTTTGGTATTTCGCCTTCTGAGTATCAATCAAAAACTAACATAAAGGATTAATATTGTCAAAGATAGTAGAAGTTTGTCATATTGATCTTTTCTTATTGCATGTTTGAATCGTCAATATAAAAGACAAATGTTTAAGCGTAGGGCGTAGCAACTTCAAATTTATACACAAATCATCTGCATCTTTTCATATCTCTGATGATATCAATGTGTATAATTTTAACTACTCAGGTCTCGAACAAACAAGAAAAGATTTAACGTGCTAATTATAACTGCGATCTTGAATGCAATACCTTCCAGCATGTTCCCGTGTTTCTCCTGTCTCGACTCTCTCTTTTTCTTTCGTTAAGTTTGCGTTTCGTTTCGATATATTTATCCTTGTTCTGGATGCGACGAGAACATCGGGCCAATGGGAGCGCGTCTTTGTATCGCGAAGCTGCCGTGATTGGTCATGCATAGAAACTTCTCGAAGCGCAAGACTTAGTGTATTAAAGGCGGGCAAGCGCGTGCCGCGCTCAGATAGATTTTCGCAAGCGAGGAGTGAACATTGCACAAACGTGTGACCAAAGTGATAACACTGCGATTCAATAGCGAGGGATATATAAGAAGTAAACGAAACATAAGGTAAGCGAATTTTAACATATGTATGTAGGTGCTCTTTAACGCGATATGTTTTATTCATTTCGTGACAATTCGACTGCGTGAACATAGAAAACGATTAACGTTAGAAACGTCACGGTGAAGTGCGTCACGTATCGATACTTTCGATGACAATTCGATTGTTTCGTTTGAAAATGGTTTCGCGATAGTATAACCGTTAGACCACGGGTACAAAGAGGTTTACGTCGGATTCTATATTTGTCGCGCGGTGTCTTTCGGTTTCGCGTAAACTTGCTAACCAGTGTTATCTCCGTGTGAATTGACATAATTGTGCGATTTCGATTGCTTATAAATAGTTACACGTAATTGTAGGCGATAAACACCTAGAAAAATCTGGTACGCTGAACACGTTTCTTTATTGTGCCTTACCATTGAATTGAATTTTTGCACACACAAATTTCAATTATGAAATTGAACGGTAAATTGATAATATCTGAATATCAGCAAAAAGTAAATACAATTATCGAAATAATTCGAAATGATTAATGCGTTGTACCATATCGAACATACTGTACAAATTGATAGTACAATTAAATATAAGATAAGGAATTTTTGCAAATAGAAATCAGTCAATGCGATAGAAAGAACAGAAATATTTTTTTTTTCCTCCTCGTTGACGCATCCTCTGACTAATTCCGTAATTTTCCTCCGCAGTGATAAAAAATGGCGAAGGCTCCAGCAATAGGAATCGATTTAGGCACCACGTATTCTTGCGTGGGTGTTTTCCAGCATGGAAAGGTCGAGATCATCGCTAACGATCAAGGAAACCGTACAACACCGAGTTATGTCGCCTTCACGGACACCGAAAGATTGATCGGCGATGCGGCCAAAAATCAGGTCGCGATGAATCCTACCAACACCATTTTCGGTAAGTGATACCAAAATTGAAAAAAAAAAATTATCCTCTTCCAATCTTATCGTTTCCTTAACGCCTTTTTACTTCATACACGAATTTTATCGAAGCAATACGACGGTATAATAATATCTCGATATAGCGATATAATGATTATTGAAACAAGAATATAGCGTTGCGAGAAATAATTTATCCAGTTGCTTTTTAAGCATAGTTCTTGGAATTTCTTGTGTTGTATGTATTTACGTGTTGCATGCGTTACGTAACAGGTCATCATATATCGATCTCCTCTATTTTCTTTCGCGAAATTTCGCGCATGCTAACGTACATATACCGGGTGACCCATAAGTATTACCGTTTAGCAATTGAATAAACTTTTGAAATATTTAATCGACTAATGAAAGTTATTAAATTTAAGAATATTAAATCGATTTACGGAGCCATCTTGTATATATGCGTACGTTGACGAAAGAGATCCGTTTTATCAATATTTGCATACGGAGGCGTAAAGTAGTACGTCCGCCGTGTTGAATTTCGTTACTGATCTCGCTCAACTCCATTCTCCGTGGTTGTATTCATTCAGACTTGCGCCCGTCCCTGTTTCATCGTTACAGTGGCACGATACCAAATTTCCTTTTGCGCACTGCACCATCGCGTGACTGCAACTTCGTTACTTTATACTTTTCCATCATCTACACATGAGACGTTCTGCTATATTTTTTTTCCTTCTACACGACTATACAACGTGTGAACTTGGTTTTATTATTATTCTTATAAAACAAAAGTGGTATTTTGAATCACGAAGAGTCATTACGAAGAAGAATAGAGGACATTAACAGAAACGATACGTGATTATGCGTCCTACTTTTTCCATTATTCCATTAATCTTCCGTGTCCTTATGAATACATTTTCATAGATTTATATCGTACGAATACTAATTGAATTTTAAATGAAACAGATGCAAAGAGGTTGATCGGGCGTCGCTTCGACGATGTAACTGTCCAGAGTGACATGAAACACTGGCCGTTCACCGTGGTGAGCGACGGAGGCAAGCCAAAGATTCAGGTTAACTACAAAGGGGAAGCTAAGACCTTCTTCCCTGAAGAAGTATCATCAATGGTACTCACGAAGATGAAGGAAACCGCTGAAGCGTATTTAGGAAAGACTGTTACCAATTCTGTGATCACCGTTCCCGCTTATTTCAACGATTCCCAAAGACAGGCCACGAAAGATGCCGGAGTGATATCTGGCTTGAACGTATTGCGAATAATCAACGAGCCAACTGCTGCGGCCATTGCATACGGTTTGGACAAGAAGACTGCAGGAGAGAAGAATGTCTTAATCTTCGACTTGGGTGGTGGAACCTTTGACGTGTCGATTTTGACCATTGAAGATGGCATCTTTGAAGTGAAATCGACAGCTGGTGACACTCATCTCGGCGGAGAGGACTTCGATAATCGTATGGTGAACCACTTCGTTCAGGAGTTCAAGAGGAAATACAAGAAAGACTTGAGCACCAATAAGAGAGCCCTTAGGCGTTTGAGAACCGCATGTGAAAGAGCGAAAAGAACTCTGAGCTCGTCGACACAGGCAAGCATAGAGATTGATTCGTTGTTCGAGGGCATTGACTTCTACACGTCGATCACCCGAGCAAGATTCGAAGAATTATGCGCCGATCTGTTCAGAGGTACACTGGAACCTGTAGAGAAAGCTCTGAGGGATGCCAAGATGGACAAGGCGCAAGTCCACAGTATTGTTCTAGTCGGTGGATCCACCAGGATACCAAAGATTCAAAAACTATTGCAAGATTTCTTCAATGGTAGAGAACTAAACAAATCTATCAACCCTGATGAGGCTGTTGCCTATGGAGCTGCTGTACAAGCAGCTATCCTGCACGGTGACAAGTCTGAAGAAGTTCAAGACTTGTTGCTACTTGATGTTACACCCTTGTCCCTGGGTATAGAGACAGCTGGATCAGTGATGACAACTCTGATCAAGAGGAACACGACAATACCAACCAAGCAAACTCAGACATTCACCACCTATTCAGATAATCAGCCTGGTGTCTTGATTCAAATATACGAGGGAGAGAGAGCATTGACCAAAGATAACAATATCCTTGGCAAGTTCGAGCTAACTGGCATTCCTCCTGCACCTAGGGGTGTTCCTCAGATTGAAGTTACATTCGACATTGATGCTAATGGTACGTTTACACACTTCAATACTTCATCATTCTTACAGTAACAACTTCAAACATGTTCATCAATTACTGACAATTCTTTTTACATCATTTCAGGTATTCTGAACGTCTCTGCCATTGAAAAGTCAACTGGAAAGGAAAACAAGATCACCATCACCAACGACAAGGGTCGATTGTCAAAGGAGGACATCGAGAGAATGGTGAATGAGGCGGAGAGGTACAAAAACGAAGACGAACAGCAACGCGAGAGAATATCTGCCAAAAATGCATTGGAGTCGTATTGCTTCAACATGAAGAGCACCATGGAAGATGACAAAGTGAAGGATAAAGTTGATGCATCTGACAAACAGAAGGTTATCGATAAATGTAACGAGGTGATCGCATGGTTGGACGCTAACCAGCTGGCAGAAAAGGAAGAATTCTCCGACAAACAGAAAGAATTGGAAGCTGTTTGCAATCCGATCGTAACGAAATTGTATCAGAGCGGCGGAGGTGTACCGCCTGGCGGATTCCCAGGTGCCCCAGGTGGCGGTGCTCCCACTGGTGGAGCGGGTGGTGGACCAACTATCGAAGAAGTAGACTAAGCTATTTGACCGTCCATAGCACTGAACAAATACACTTCTTTTCTCCTTTCACATTTTATTTATTTCGTATACACGCTTTGTACAGTAATGAGAATACCCGCTACCTTTGTTTGTACTGGTACTCACGTCGAAATGTATTTTTTGTGAGAACGCAAACTTTATTTTCTGTAAGAAAATATTTAAATTCGTAATATATTAATTTATTACAAAAGAGAAACCACACACAGCACACATGTGATTACTTATTTCTTCCTCAGCGTGTAATCAGTCGATTCCTCGATATCTTCTCATTCAAAAACCTTCTGGCTTGTAAAATTGGACGAGGATGATTAAGTACGTGGTGATAACGCTGATAAACTGAAAGTAAATATACGTTGAAAATTGTGTCACACACATATATATATATATATATGTATGTATTACATACTCTCGTCAGTAAAGAGTTATCCATTTCGAAGAAATCACAGGCGGTGAACATGACTCTGTGGTGTTGCAATTGCAACGAAAAATCGTTCATTTCGTTTCTAACGCAGTCTCGTTCGAAATTCGATCGCAGAAGGCTCTCCATACCGAAACCGTTTAGATTCAACACACCGTTGTCACCGCGACCGTTGAAAATTTCTAACGGTTCCGGTTCTTTGTTGCGAAAATTCCGGAAGTACGCCAACTTGGTGAATTTCGTGTTGTGCCGCGTGTTGAGAACGAACTCGCTGATATATAGACCAATTTTATTTATTTCTCTATGGGTCAGCGTGCACACCCAACACATCACTATGAATTGACCCCCGTAAATCATCCAGATCACGTTGTTCAGAAATATGAAACCGCTTTTGTGCTCGGCTGCGCTCATGTAGATCCTGAATAATTTCGCTACCACCATTATGAAAGCGTTTGTAGAGCATAATAACAGATCTACGCCGTAGATATCGTTCACCGCCATTACTATAGAGCATAATTCTGCAAAGTGTTCATATCGATCACAAACGTGAAGTACAGAAAGCGTACGAAGCGAGTCGCAAGAAAGAGACAATTTATGCTTCTCTCTCCGAAGGTCTTCCGACAAAATTCGAAATAAATTAATTTCACAATTGAAAAGGTCCGTTCAACTTTCGTCCTCCATCGTCTATCTTTAGAAGAGAAAGAACCATACAACGTGTCCCTCGTTTGCGTCACTCGCTCCGAATTAACGCGCGCAGGAAATTTGTCAATATTTCTCGCGTCGAGTGTGTAAGTACATGCCATTGTGCAGCCTTCTGATTCTTCTGATCTTCAAGGTGGTCCAGTACGTTCCCAATTTCTCGTCCAACCGTGCAACGATCTCGTTGATCGCTCTGAATCGCTGACAGATCACGTAGACCACGATATCGAACACGAAACTGTTCACCAAAGTTTGCGCGATCGTGTAATACAAGAGTAGATCGGAAGCAAAAATTTGTTCAGGATCGGTGAAATAGTAATAGAGAACGTGAACGATTAACGAAACTGGACCGAACAGCGAAACTATGGAAACAGCGAAGATTTGCCTGATTTTCACGCATCGATCGTTGATGGAAGTTTCTCTGCCGATGTTTCTATCTAGAGATTCCAACATTTTCATCAATTCCGGCCATTTCTCGTAGTGTCTTACCATGTGATAGACGTAATAGTAAGCGGCAAGGTGGCAGACAGTTTCGTTCATGCAGTACATGATCTCGAACAGCTTGCTGGTGAACTGTTTGCCGAAATTCGCGAAGTCCATCGCGCTGAACGCGACGATCACCGAGCTCACGGCGAAGTGGAGAACGCGGAGGGCCATCGTCAGCCATTTTGGAGAACATTTCGGTCTCGCGACTCCGACACCGAGTAACCAGGAAACGTATATTATAGGACGCAACGTATACTCCGGTTTATTCTCCGGATTATTCTCCATTTCAACGTTTATTTCCTCCTCCATTCTAAAAAAAAAAAAAATTTCTCCAAAATACAAGTGAAACCTTCGAATTTTGTAATTTCGTCCAAGTGAAACGAAACGTTCCTCGAAAGATCACGCGAAACACTGGTGCTTTTAATTCGGATAATTTCGTTGCTCGCATCAGATCCATTAAGCGGATTCGAGATCTACGTGATAAACAGCGGGTGTTTCATACAGAATTCAAGAAAGATTTGAAGAATTCATACGTGGCATTATTTTAATGGAATTGAAAGTGGTTGAGATTGCGGATAGGTACCTGTGATATGTTGTATATATCGAAAAACGAGCTTTATTTGCCCAACGACTATATTACAATTTTTATTATACAGTAAACATTTAAAATGGGATAAAACGATAACGTTGAACATCGACCGTTTCTGTTTGTCTCTTTGGTTGGATTTTTCTTGTTTTTTTATTATTTTTTTTGTTAGAAATCAGGCGGCGGGTCGAGTTGAATTATCTCGTAATAATAAAAATTAT